CTCCTGCACTGTATCAAGTCATCTTCGAGTGGCTTCTCTTGGGCGTGGTCGAAACGACTTCATCCCTCCAGTTGGTTTCCCGCCTGATCCAGTCACAAAACGGGACTGCGTGGACCTCTGGTTCATTCTAGACTTGTCCCTTCTGAACCCGTGGGTTTTTTGCCCCTCCTTCAGGATGACTACTCTGTTCCAGGTCCGTCTTCTCTTGGAGCCGGGTGCTTGGATGGTGTCTCTGGACCTCAAGGACGCGTATTGGCACGTCCCGGTTCATCCGGGTTCCAGGGACCGACTCAGTTTCGTTGTGGGGCGTCAAGCTTACCGCTTTCGTTGCCTTCCCTTCGGCTCGATTCTGGCGACTCTGGTGTTTACTCGCCTTACTCAGGTCGTGGTGGCCTGGCTGCGTCGTTTAGGTGTGCGAGTTCTGGCCTACCTCGACGACTGGCTGGTTTGGGCCCCCAGCGAGTCCGCGTGTCTGCTCGCCAGGGATATGGTTCTTTCCCAGCTCACCGGGTTAGGGTTCCTGGTGAACTGGAGGAAGTTCCATCTGGTTCCCTCCCAGGTTCGGTCTTGGCTGGGTCTTCAGTGGGACGCTCGTACCGCTTCCTTGTCTCTTCCTCCGGCAGCTCTGCTTCGTCTACATTCCTGCCTGCGTCTGTTCCTGAGGGGCTCCCGGGTCATGCGGCAGTTCCTCGAGAATTTGTGCGAGAGCCTGAACTTTGCCATGTTGGTCTACCCGCCAGGTCGGGTGTGGCTTTGTCGGCTGTTCTGGTTCCTTCGAGGCCGTCCCTTCCATCTCTCGCGTGATCGCTGGGTTCGTCCCCCGGGGGCCTTACGTCAGCTACTGTGTTGCCTGCTTCCTCTATGGGTTTTTCGGGGTTCATTGCCTTGGCGCCTGTCCAAGCCCTCGCTAGATGTGTTCATGGACGCGTCGTCTCTTGGCTGGGGCTTTGTGACCAGTGCTCACCAGGCCAACCAGGGGCGGTGGTGTCCGTCTCTCCATCTGGCCCACAGGACGGTGCGGGAGTTCCCGGCAGTTTGGTTGTCACTCCAGAGGGTTCGAGTCGGGTCAACAATCAGGCTCTATTTGGACTGCTCTCCAGTGGTTCATTGTTTGAACTGCGGGGGTTCGATGCAGTCCTTGGCTCTTTGGGGCTGGTTGCTTCGGGTGACTCGTCTGCTGAGTTCTCGGGGTTTGGCTCTCCTGGCGGTTCACATTCGGGGAGTGTCCAGTGTCTTGGCGGATGGCCTGTCACGGTTCATTCCCCTGTCCACAGAATGGACAGTTGCCACCAGCTCCTTCAGTTGGCTCTGCCGGACGCGCAGGCCTCCAGATGTGGACCTCGTCGCATCGGCGTGGTCGAGGTGTCTTCCGGTATATGTGGCACCCTTCCCCGACTGCGAGGCCGTCGGGGTCGATGTCTTTCAATTAGATTGGGCGTGCTGGGGTTACCTATACCTCTTCCCCCCGATTCAGCTGTTGCTTCAGATCCTGGCTCACCATGGGGAGTGTTGTCCTTCTGGGTCCTTGGTGGCCGGCCCATCCTTGGTTTCAGGCGCTGCATGCTTGGTGTCCGAACCCGAGGGTCTTCCTGTGGCTCTGCCTCTTTCAGTAGATCGGGCCAGTCCGGTACGAGGCTGGTTCGGTCTTCTCCTCGAGTCATCGTGTCTGGAGTTTTTGACTCGGGTTTACCATCACTTGTATGGTGCGCAGGTGGCTTTGTTATTGGTCTCCCACCTGCGTGCTTCATCTCAGCGACAGTATGAAGTTTCCTGGCAGTCCTTCTGTTTTTTCCTATTACTGCATAGATGTTCTTCAGTCTCTGATAGGGTTGTCTTGTCCTTTCTTTCTTGGTTGTTCCAGGACCGTCATCTTATGCCGAATACTGTCGCCTCATATCGTGCGGTGTTGGCGGAGCCGCTTCAGCTTGCTTTCGGTGTTGATGTTGCTTCTGCTCCGTTCCACAAGCTGTCTTGTGCGTTGTTTCACCTCCGGCCTACTCATGCACCGCCTGAGTCGTCCTGGTCCCTGGACCGGGTGCTCTCGTTTCTATCTTCTCCTCAGTTTGTTGTGGCCCCCTTCTGTTCAGGATTGTTTTTCCAAGGCTCTTTTCCTGTTGGCATTGGCCTCTGGGGGTTGGGTCGGGGAGCTTCATGCTCTTCTCTGGTGCAGGGGTTTCTGCTCTTTTGTTTCTGGGGGGGCATTTTGTTTGCTTGCAGCTTTCTCCTTCCTTTCTGGCCAAGAATGAGATGGCTGCGTTCTGGAAGGGGCCTTGGGTCATTGATGCTTCGTTGGTCAGACCGGGGGTGCATCATGTGTTGTGTCCGGTTGTGACTCTTCGCTGTTATTTGCGTGCCACGGCTTCAGTGGCCGGGAAAGCACTTGGGTTGACCCAGTTTCCCTTCTTCCTTGTTCCTGGGCTCGAGTTTCTCAGGTCGTCCACAGGGTAATTAAGTCTAGCCAGCCTGCGGTCTATCCCCGGTCCCATGACATTCGTAAGTTTGCTGCCTTGGCTGCCGTCTTTGGCAACATGTCCTGGGTTGACATACCGGCCTGGGGTTTTTGGAGGTCAAACAGGGTCCTGGCAGCTCGCTACCTGGTGAATGTCCCTGGGCCTAGTTGGGCCTGCGTTGCATTGGGTCGGCGGTTGCAGCCAGTTGTCTCGACTTTGCGTTGAGGAGTGAGGACGGACCGCCTCCCGGGTAGGTCCCTTATTTGCCTTCTCTTTGGGTAGTTAGCTCCGGGGAGCCGAAGGGGCTTCCCCCATAAAACCAGCATTGAATGTAATGAAATGCCATTTTCTGGGTGAGACCCAGAGGCTCCCCGGCATCACTCTCTCCCTCCCTTCCTCCGGTCTGCGTTTTTTTGTGTGTTTTGACATCCAGCCTAAGAACTAAGGGTGGATAGCCGGCGTGTGGGGTCTGAGGCTTCCCCTTCCCCCCTCCCGGGGCAGGGGGAACTGCGCAGACAGCGGCGCGGCGACGTGTGTCGTCATGATCGTTTGCTCGTTTCGTTTAGGGGAGTTCTATCCACTTGTTCAGCTTTTGGTAGCAATATTTTCACCAGAATAGAGGTTTGTTTTGGGATGCTTACCTTTCTGGGTTCCTGACCCAGTCGATGGCAGACATAGAATGCTTCCAACCACACGGGGGCTTCTATAGTCCATTGCTCTCCTTGCATCTCTGAGGGGGCCAGGTTCTGGCCGTGGTTTCCGGTTGGCCCAAAGAACTCCATACACATGACTGATGCCAAAGTCTGACATTAGCATATCAACCTGGTTAGCTCTGGGAAGCCTCCGGGTCCCACCCAGAAAATGGTGTTTCATTACATTCAACGCTGGTTTTTTAAATGGTGTCTGTTTAGGAGAGCCCTGAGGAAACTGATGTGAACCCAGTGCAGCCGTGGAAGTTTTGAATCATACGCTATACCTATGAGATCCCTGAGGCGCGTTGTGCACCACCCGTCGAGGGCCTCAAGGTGCGTTGTGCAATGCAGTGGTTAATGTGATATTATGCACATTCTGAGCATAATTTCTCGTCCCATCATATGATTTGATGCAAAGCCTAAGGGTTAAGGCAGTTTTCCCTGTTGGTTCTCGCCTCTTGCTCATAGAATGGGGAGCTTCAGATTCTTCTTCCTTGGCAGGGTTTTGTTCTTTTGGCCCTGGCAGGCGGTTTGCTTTTTTGCCGTTATTTTCTTTTCTAATTTTGGCGGAGAATGCATCAGCGGGCTTCCAGAGGAGTCATCTCGTGATCGATTCTTGGTTTGATCGGCCGAGGGTGCATTGTTTGCTTTGTCTGTAGTGGCTCATCACTGCTACCTGTGTGCCTTTGGTTCTATCTCTGTGGATGCCTTATTGGTTGATCTCATTTCCTTAGTACCATGTTCCATGGCTCGCACTTCCTATGTTGTCCATTATGTCCTCTTGACTAGCCAGCTTGTAGTCTATCCTTAGGCCCATGATGTCTGTACATAGGTTGCTTTGGCCACGATCTTCTCTTCTAGTCGTAGGGTAATATTTGGGCTGAGAGGTACTGGCGTTCTAACAGGGTGGTGGCAGTCTGGCTTTTTTGGTTTATGTTCTTAGGCCCAGTTGGTCGTGTGTGGCCTTGTGTTGTCTCGCCCAGCCTTGTTTCTTTTCTTTGTCTTAAATGCCTGCTACCTCTCCTCCTTGCTGTCATGTCCCTGTCTTGTTCTCTCAGGTTACAATAGCTTCAGGGAGCCACAAGCGACTCCACAGTATTGTATGTAATGAATGCTATGTTTTGGAGGAACCCTGGTGGTTCTGCCTCCCTCCTGTCCTCCAGGTTCGTTGGTTCATTGTAGATTTGTTCATCAGGTCCTGAACTGATTTGGGGAGCCAACTGGGAACCAGGGGTGAGCAACATGGGGGTGGTTATCGATACTAACAAATTTCAAACTGTTTTGTGTGAATCCCTTGTTTCCGTGTGACTCATTTGCAGATGTTTCGCAGGTTTTCAGTCTTCATTTTCTTTGAACCTTCAGTCGTCTGTAAAGCTGTGCTAATTTTCTGGAGGCTTTTCTGGTAAGGTCATGGATTAGCAAGTGAGAGCAAGTAAGGTCTTGCTGACCAGACCACACACTAGAAATTGAAGGGACGACGACGTTTCGGTCCTTCCTGGACCATTCTCAAGTCGATTGTGACTTGAGAATGGTCACAATCGACTTGAGAATGGTCCAGGACGGACCGAAACGTCGTCGTCCCTTCAATTTCTAGTGTGTGGTCTGGTCAACATACTTCAGCCACGTTATTGTGACTCATCGCCTGCATAAGGTCTTGCTCTCTGCACCACTGTGAGTGGATTAGGGTCTGGCACTGGTCTTCAGTAGACTAAACAAAAATATCTACAACTGATATGACCTTTTAGTATGAAGCACTCTCAGGACAGTAGCTCTGGGAAGCTACCAGGGCTTCTCCAGAAATTGTCATTTCATTTCATTCTGGGTTTTTGTCTAAACTAAAAGCCTTTTTGTTTTTCAGCTGACATGGCAGGAGGATGGTATACTCTCAGTCTTTGCACCAAATCTGTCAGCGATGGAGGAAGCAAAAGAGGCCCTTACTGAACTGCTCAGTGATCGAGAACCCACTTTAGAGTTTGGCGGTATTTACACTTCTACAGTTGTTGAACTTCGTCCGCAAGGTGTTATGGTGACACTCTATGATGACATGCCACCAGTTTTACTTCACAATTCACAGTTGGATACAAGAAAAGTAAGTTGCTGTTTCATGGTTCTGAAGTATATCAGTTTTCTTAGAAAAGAGTTTGTTTAAATCTGGTTTTCAGTGAAATTAACCATTCTACTGAATATCCTGGCTGGAGAAGTGGTGGGAAATTATCCTCATGTGGTGCATCCCGTCTGGGGACATATTAAGATAGTGAGTAAGATTTAAAACTCCGGCAAGTACATGGGCTTACATCGGCTTTCTCAAAACTGAGCCTCCAGTAAACAAACACCATTTTGAGAGACCCATGGACTCCATGCCTGGGTGTGAAGGCCCTTAGCATTGAGTGAGCAACCAAAGGTGGCACATGCAGTATGAGCTAACAGTGACGCTGCTCAGCTTGTGTCCACAGCATCACTTAAAAATTATGAATAATAAGTAACCATTTATTTTGTGATGATAATATCATAGAAGTTCCCGACTATGATAAAGACTATAATATATACAATGATCAAATATCAGTGAACACAATGGTGTTTATGATCATGTGCGATGCAGACAGCCACAGCACTCTGCCATTGTCTCATCGTGAAACGACCTCATGCTTTTATAGAAAATAAATGTGTGTGTGTAAAATTATTCATATTCTGGATTTAGTGATCAGGATTCTGATAATAACAACAGCATTGTGCCTACAGTTAGCAATTGGCATACAGTAAGCCACGTGCTTTATGAATGCCTGTTTTCCGATTTGGGTTTATTCGGATAAAAAGTTTGAATAACTGGTGAGCAGGCAGTCTGAATAAAAATGTGCAATAAAGACAAAACTAGTTTGCCAAGTGATCATACAAAATGTCACTTACGCAGTGTTCATACACTAGTGGATGGCTCAGAAGCTTTAAACTCTGCCATGGCATTATTATTAAAGTACATAATGAAAAGCAGTCTGCTGAGATTACCTCATCACCATTAATCACTGTACTGCACCACCCGACATAGTGCATGGTGTCGAAGGCCCCACCAGACATATGACGAACGTTAGTATATCCAAAGATTCAAAACTCCTGCGGGTACACGGTGGGTCATCCTGTTCCTCAGGACCAAGGTGTATGGAGTTCCACCTCACAGCACCATTTAATAGTGACGAATAAGAAAATCCACAGGAGCCATGATGAAGATTTGAACCGATGCGCTGGGTATTCCAGGATGCACACGCTAAACGACTATGCCGCGACATAGTCAAAAGAATTGCAACTTGGGGTACTACTGCATCTTCAAGGATTCCTGAGGCTTTCACCTAAGCCAAACCAGAGTTTCACACAATTCCCCCATGTACCGTGGCTCTGTATTTCAGTAATTCTACCTCTGATGCCCCTCTTTCAGTACACAGAGAAATCACATTATTGCGATATGTCAGTGAGAAAATCCACAGGTATTATGATGAGGATTCGAACCTATGTACTGGGTATTCCCAGATGCACTTGCTAGACATCCCAGAATGCCCGGAATATCTAGAATATCCAGATGTACGTGGTGTAGTCATTCTCCACATGCATCTGAGAATACCCAGTGCATAGGTTCAAACCCTCATCACGGCACCTGTGGATTTTCTCGTTGATATATATCACAATGTGATTTCTCTGTGTAATGAAGAATAAAATAAGTAACTGCAATTATTTTGAGTTAATAGAGTCATAGATGATCCTAAGTGTAATAATAATCATGTACAAGGTTCAGATATCAGTGAACACGATGTTAATTATGATGTTCACGGCAGACATTCACAGCACACAGCGGTGGTTTGTGAATCTATGCATCATGCAACGTGACCTCATATTCCTTTAGAAAATATTCTTCAGGAAAATGATTCATATTCACGATATAGTGACGGGAATCTGTTAATAGCAGTATTCGTAGAGATAATAGAGATGTATGTAGTGTATTTCTGGGTATTTTGCTCCCTAGGTAATGTCGGCTGCATGAGTCAGCTAGTCATTGCGTGTATCTCTATACTGTGCTAAGATTTCATCACCACACACAAGGTTTACTTAGTTGTTCGTTATGGTTTTTAAAAATATGGATACAGTGGGTCCACGATTTACGATGGTAATCCATTCCCAGAGACGTATTGTAAGTCGAAATATCGTAAGTCGAAACGATTTTTCCCCTAAGAAATAAAGGGAATTGAATAAATCTGTTCCAGAACCCCAAAAATATTAACTTAAAAATACATTTTATACTGAATACAATTTTTTTCCCTAACTACAATACAGTACATATGTTTATCTTACCTTTATGGAGGACTCTTGATGGCGTATGGAAGATGGTGATGAGGGGGGAGGAGGAGAGGTGTTTGGAATAGAAGTCCCCTTCCATTATAACATCAGGCAGTGATGATTACTCTGGGGTACACTCTCTCCTACGTTTTGCCTGCATATCACTAGGACCTGGTTGTGGTTCTCTGGTAGTTTGTCTCACTAAAAATTTATCTAGCGACACTTTTTCTGTGGGGAGCCCCTACGGCTCCCTGGAGCTTATCAGGCTAATGTATGTTATGTTAGACCGGGACATTAGTTATGGAGTTCAGACCTACCAGGGACCAGTGCCAGAACCTGGCCCCTTCAGAGAGGTTTCAGGGAGCAATGGCCCTGGAAAACCCCATATGGTTGGGAGTTTTCCTTATCTGCCATCGACCGGGGTTAGGCACCCAGAAAGGTAGGCGTAACAAAACAAACTCCACATGGTAAGAAACTACAATAAAAACCAAACAGAGAGGTAGAAAACTCCCTACAACCCCAAGGAAAACAATCAAACAATCAATTTACTGCCGCGCCAGTCTTCTGCACAGCCCTTCCCTCCCCGGGAGGGGGAGGGGGGCCTGGACCTCACCACGCCGGCTGCCTTCAGTTCGCAAGCTAGTGTCAACCGGGATAGACGCTTCTCTGGCCTCAAATTCCTTGGCGGTGTTTGCCTCGTGTGGTGTTCTCTGCTGTTTTTGTGTGGTGTGCGGTGGCCAGGAGTACTTCATCAGTGCCGGGGCTGCATGCGCCTAGGGGCTTCCTTCCCTAGGCGCCCTGTGAGTACTGCCCTTGCGTGTCAGGGTTATCTTCTCTGGGGCGTTCGGGAACCGCTCCCGTAGAGGTTCTTGCTGCTCGGCATTTGCCTCGCCCTTGGGGCCAGCTGGGGCTTGGGGCCCTTGTTTGGCCTTGGGTAGGGAGTGGTATTGTGCTGGTTAGGGCGTCAAGGTGTTGCGCGGCCTGCCACCTAAGCGGCGACCAGTTCCTGTTGCTCTGGGGATGGTGTACTTTTGCGGGGGGTTTTGTTTTGTTTTGTTTTTGTTTGCCTGGTGGAGGTGCTGCCTCGTGGGCCCATAGTTCCCCTGGTATTGTTTTGGTGGCCCTCTGCTAGGAGCCCGTGCTTGTACACGTCCCAGGGGTTTTCAGTATTATCATTTACCCTTGTTTTGTTTGGGTTTCTTAACCGGTTAGCAACACCTTGCCTGGGCTTCCTGTAGTTGCTAACCTACGGGACCTGGAAACCCTGTCGGGGCTCGGGGACCCATGGATGCGTCTCCCAAGTTCCAGCCTGCCTTGTGCGGGTTTGAAGGTTGCAGTGTGCCCTTGTCTCAGGGTGACAGTCACCTGTTTTGCCTCCGTCATGCTGCCTGTTGGGTCAATGACACCTTTGACCCGGAGTCTTGCGAGTCATGTTTTCTGCTTGTGCTCCAGTTTTACTCTGAGGATGTTCCTATTAGGGTACAGGCAGCATCAGCGTTGCATGTTAGGTTTAGGTTATTGCAACGTGCTAGGTTGGTTTCCCACCCGGATGCCCCGAGGCTGCCCCGTTTTGGCTTTAGGGACTCTGACCTGGGGGCGTTGGTCGCTATGGCTTTGGCACCAGCCGCGCCCTCTGGTCCTTTCCTTGTGGTTCTTCCTGCACCTCCCCTCCTGTGTCCGGCTCCGAAACGTATGTGGGTTTCGGCCTTGGCACAGGGTTTAGTTGGTAGTGAGACTCAGGCTGCTTCGGGGGCTGCCCCATCCGGGTCGGGGACGGAGGCATTTGAGCCGGTTCCTCCTGCCGAGGCTTCTGGGTCCCACCAGCAGACCCCTTTCTTGTCTGCCTTTCCCTTGGACTCTACCTTTTCTTCAGGGGTAGAGTTGGAGGACGGCTCTGCCCCGGGTCCCGACGTAGGGGATCCTGGGGCTGGGGAGGAGTCGACCTGGGGGCCTTGGGCCCCCTGTGACCCCGCTTGGGTGTTTTTGTCTTCCCCGCAGGGTTTATTGTTGCAGGGGGAGGGGTTTTCTTACCCCCCTTCCCTGTATGAGTATGATTTGGGTTCGGTTCCGGGCGCCTTTGGGTACCTCGGCTTCGTCTTTCCAGGGGTTTGCTACTTCCCGTATCTCCACGAAGGTGGCTCGGGAAGCTCTTGCTGCATACCTCTTGCGAGACTTGGGTTATACCTCCCCAATGGATCCGTCCTCGTTTGAGTTCGGTTCTTCTTCCTGTTTTTGGGTGCGTTTGGAGGTTCCGGAGTCTTCCTGGCTGGCAGACTGCCCTTTCTTTTCGTTGGGGGCGTGGCATGGGTTCTGTCGGACCCGCACGCTTGATTGGCGGGAGACTGCTACTTTTATGCAGGTTTACCTGGCGGGCGAGTTTGAGCACCTTAATACGTGCTTATTCGCTCCCATGCTTTCTCGGGATGTTGGCCTTTTCCAGCTTCACGTGCAGGTTCCTCAGCTTTCGGCTTCATTGGTTGCGGAGGAGTTGCGCTCCTGTGGGCATTTGGCTTCGGTCTTGCGTTTCTTTTCCCTTCTCGAGCTCTCTTCTGCTTGGCTTGAGGAGGATGTGGGAGCTTTGAGTGAAGGGCCTTCGTCCGGGGCACTGTCTTCGGCAGCTAGGGCGTCGACTGCACTGTTGAAGCTCTTTGCGCCCATCCTGAAGGAAGCTGGATCTCTGTTTTTTGCTTCTCGCCTCGCGTGCCGTCAGGCTGTGCTCGCCCTCTCTTTGGAATCCGCTTGGGCCCTGGCTCCTAGGTTTTCGTCTCCGTT